ATAATAATAAAACAAAAATACTTTGTGTACTGCGTAGTTCAACTTGTATCAATACAAAATGGTTAAATCCCCATTTTGGTCCCTGAATTATTGTACGGACCCCCGATTTGGTCCCTAAACTAAAGAAATTCCTGATTCAATCCTTAAATCATTGTACGGACCCCTGATTTGGTTCCCACTGTTTATAATTTGGCCTAAGTTGGTCATTGAACTATTGTACAGACCCACAATTTGGTCATTATTGTTTACAATTTCGCTCCAATTTGGTCCTTGAGTTATTATTTAACAGAAGGACCAAGTTGGGGTTAAATTGGTAAACAATAGGGATTAAATTGGACATCCGTATAATAGTTTAGGGACTAACTTGGGAGTCCGTATAATAGTTTAGAGATCAACTTAGGGGTCCGTACAATAGTTCAATGACCAAATTAGGGATTTCTTTAGTTCAGGAACCAAATCAGGGGTCCGTACAATAGTTCAGGGACCAAAATAGGGATTTAACCATACAAAATTAATCATTAAATCGAGCCATTCGGAATAGGTGCGGATCATTCTTTATGATGGTGGGAAAACCTTAATTAGGCCCCTAAATTTACCCCATTTTAGCACATAAGCCCTAACAAAAATTTAGCCCCATGAGCCCCTAAACACCATTTTCTGCGCAGCTTAGCCCTAAATTAACAGTTAACTTTAGTTCCGTTAGGTTACCTGATAGTGCCTTTGAGAAAGTGGTTTAATTACAATTTAATCGCAAACTTACCAAATTTGAAAGACACTTAAGCCCTAAACTTTTATTTATTTTTACTACAAAATTTAAAACAAAATTAATAGAAAACACACTTTCCTTAATCCAGCAATCTACAACAGAATAATAATGACATCCAAAAGATCTTGGGTAAGTATTTGGAGATTATCTTAGCGTAAATTTAAAGAATTTTTTTTCTTTTTTTTTTTTTGGTGTTGAAACAATAATGACATCCAACAAGAATAATTTTCATTTCGTTACTGGTTTACTACAACTACAAATAAACATAGTGGCAACTTGGAATATTTAATTACAATAGAGGAGGACAGCAGCAGTTTGGATCATCATAGCTTGAGCACTTAAAACTATATATATTACTTCAAAAAGAATTTGAGACTTTATTTTTCTAGAAAGAAAGACTATATTTTTGAGTAATTAATTAATGAAAAATTAATGATTTGATGAATTCTCGGAGCAGAATAGAAAAAAAATTGCAATTGGCAGGTGAAAAGTGAAAAGTTATGCAAATTCCAGTGGAGAAAATCTCAAAACCAAAATAGTTTCGAAAAGCCTAAATTGAAATCAAGATTAAAAAAAAAAAAAGAACTCAATATAACTCAAACCCACTCAATTGTGGTGGTTAATGTTTACTCTACCTTTGCATTAGAGTATATGCTAAGAATTAAAGTTGCAATTTAAGTAAAGAGTTAATTGAAATCTCCATAAACAAAGGTCTATAGAATAAACATTAGTTTGATTGAATATACCAAGTGAATGTTAGCTGCATTATAAAATCATTTCAAATAGTTAATGCACCAAGTAAATTAGTTCGATATGTGAAAGTTCAACAAAAAATACTTAACCATAAGTTGAAAAAGTCTATACTATAAACATTAAGTTGATATAATTTAAGCTAAGTGAAAATTTTAATTAATTAGCTTGTGTTTACTTAAATTAAGAGTGGGCTTGTGCAGTAGGCTTGCCTGCTCTGCCACAACTGATCCAGGTCTTGAGGAAGAAGAGTAGCAGCTTAAAGGTAAGACTGTTGATATGCTTGCCAAATTCATAGGTGTCAGGGAATTCAATCGAAAGGAAAATTTACAGAAAGAGCTCTACTCTTGTTGAATTGTAATTCATGAGAGTAGGAAAGGGAGAACTGCAAAAAAAAAAAGATATAGATTAAAAATACGCGATTTTAATTAAGAATAATCTAGTGATAGATATTAATCTTTTAAAAAAAATTTATATTTATGTTTTTCTCTCTTTATTAAATTAGTTAGAGTTAGGGACTAATTTTATTTAAAATCCAACTAATTTGGTGATTATATTGTGATTAACCATTTTTTTCTTCAAATATATTAACAACAACCGTTAATGTTCGCTAAAACCTAAGATAAAAATAACAAACATGAACGGCAGCTGTTGAGTGAACCGTTAAATAAGGGGCGAATTTGCTTAGATTGTTGACTTTAAGGGCTTACAAGGCTAAAACGTTTAGGGACTTATACG